GCCCTCTTGCTCGGAGCGTGTTTCATTTGTCTTACTCTCAAGTCGCGTTTCTAAGCTTCGGCCTGGGGCTCGTCCCTTCTTATTTTTATCTCCGCTCATTATTCTTGAGGGGAAAGTCGCTTTTAATGGATTATATTCTTGAATTGCGGATTATTTTAGCTATCGATGCAGGAGCTCCTGTTTATGCTGCTACTCTCGCCACCATGACACCGGAAGTCCATGAAGGAGGTCTTGATGCAGATATCTACTGACGACAACAAAAGCTCTGAAATGTTATTTGTTCTTCCTAAAGACAAATAACTTTGTTCCCGGTTTGGCCAAGAAATAAGTCAGCAGTCCTTGTTTGTCCAAAGAGGGACTTTTAAGCTCAAGTGCAGGGAACAACCTTAAATGGTGCAGAAAACAAGCTGTTGACAGGAATTAAGAAAGAAAACCAGAAAGAGAAATGTTTTCTGATCACTTAAAAGCTTAGCTTAATTAAAAAACCTTAACGATGTCATAAAATTGAAGGATATGAAAGGAATCTAACAAACTCTAAAGCTTTTATAACAGCAAGAAAGTGGCAGCTTCCTGTCCTGGTTCACCTCATGCATAAATCTGCCTTGCTAATCCAAACTAATGAGGATCACAAGGACTCGAGTAAACATGTGAAAAAGGTCATTTGGCCTTCACGCCTGGCTGACTGCAATGTGTGGAAGCTTTGTGGCCACTGTGGTAGTTGATGAAGTTGTGTAGCCCTTTTGTACTTTTGCTAACTCTGAGAAGCCTGAGAACTGAGAACTACTGCATATTTATAATCAAGTGTTTTGCTTTAAGATTAGAGGGGGGGTATTTTAATGATACCAAAGCAGAATATTGTTCTGTCCCTGCGAGGAGATGGGATTACTTGAGGGCATACCAATTCTGTATTAATGCAGTTTGTGGTATTTGGGTTATGCCATCTGGGGTTAAACTTTTTCATCATAATGAGACTTTTCTATTTGCTGAATTGTTGAGAAAGTTTTCAGTGGAAAGTAGGACGTTGATGACAGGATGTATTTTTGGTTACGCATGTGTGCAACAGTTTCATCATCTTATTATTTGCTCTTTGTCTTCAGGTCGCCCAGACTTTCTACATCACCATCAAGCCTGTGGACGACTCCCTGCCTCTTCTTCAGGTCCCTGGCATGAGGGTGCAGGAGGGTGTAAGAAAGACCATCACTGAGTTTGAGCTGAAAGCCACCGATGCGGACACAGAGGTAACACACTCGCTACATACGTTTCCTGCAAATCTTTCACAGCTTTAATTACAGTATATGCGTGACATCAACTTCCAAAGAAAGGTGATTTGGGTGACTGTAACAACTGGCGGGGCGTCATGTTGCTGTCGGTACCCGGGAAAGTGTTTTGCCTCGCTCTTTTGAATCGGCTACGACACGCAGTGAACGAACGATTGCGAGAAGAGCAGGCTGGGTTTCGGAGTGGCCGGTAATGCGTCGAGCAAATCTTCACCCTCCGCATGATCATTGAACAAACACTGGAATACCAAAGGAAGATTTCTATTAATTTCATTGACTTCGAGAAGGCTTTTGACAGCGTCCACCGGCCGACTCTATGGGCTATCCTACGCCACTATGGAGTCCCTCAGCAGATGCCTTTCGTTGTCTCTACTCCAACTCCCGTTGCTGCGTCCGGACGGATAACGGCTGCACTGATTTCTTCAAGATCAATACAGGCGTCCGACAAGGATGCGTGCTATCCCCTTTCCTCTTCCTGTTGGTAATCGACTTCATCATGCGACGATCAGTTGACCAAGCTGGCATCGGTGTGCCCTGGCACGAAGCGCGTAATCTCACTGACTTGGACTTCGCAGATGACATCGCCCTGCTGGGCTCGACTCAGGAAGATCTCCAAAAGTTGACCGCGGCCCTGCAGAGGGAGGCGACGAAAGTTGGATTAAGAATCAGCGCCAAAAAAACCAAGGTACTCCGAGTTGGCTATGCACGTGCCCGCATTCCTGTCATGATCAACCAACAACGTGCTGAAGAGGTGGAGAATTTTACATATTTTGGCAGCATCATCTCGAATGACGGGGTCTCTGATCGGGATGTCGACGCCAGAGTAGGGAAGGCAGTTGGTGTCCTGCGACGTCTCCAACCTATTTGGAACTCGACCTCCCTGAATGTTAGGGTCAAGATCAGACTACTGAACTCTATCGTCTTCCCTACTGCACTTTACGCTAGTGAAACCTGGCGCTCAACAAGTGCAACTATTCAACACCTGAACGTGCTTCAACGACGTGGCCTGCGGCAAATCCTGAGAATTTCCTACCGGGACCGAATAACAAATGAGGAGGTCCTACGAAGAGCAGGCACCCGCCCATTAGCCGATGTTGTTGCAGAAAGGCGCTTCCGCTTTGCGGGCCATATTTTACGCCTACCCCCTCATCGCCCAGCTAAGATTGCCGTGACATGGCGTCCACGCACTGGCAAGCGAAAGCAAGGCCGACCAAAGACCACATGGCGTCGAACATTCATGGACGATCTGAGAACTGTTGGCATTGCCTGGGACGAAGCTGAAGCAGTCGCTGCTGACCGACATCGATGGAGATCACTAGCTGCCCGATGCGCCGCCCGGCGTAGGAGGAACTAAGTGCTAAAGTATGCGTGACATCATGATAAGAATCAGGTGTCACCTTCTGTAGAGGGAACTATGACAGAGACGCTTTGAGCACTTCAGAAGGTCTTAAAGGAAAACAAAACAAAAAACTTTTCAAATGTGTAACTGAGGTCAAAATAAAGCATTCGAGGACTGATTAGTGCAGCATGCACCTCGTGCTTCTGCTTTAATTAAGGCTAAACGAAGGCAAATGTTGCTCTCCATCCTCTGCTGCATATATTGTAGATTTATTAATATGTATAAAATTTATATGAAGTAATTTCAATGAGCTCTTTTGCCTTTTTCCTTCTTTAAGCATCTGATCCGCTTTATGAGCTGCACAATATAAACAGATAATATCTTTGAAGCTTGGTATGATTCGCGAACTAATTGGCATCATGTTTGGAATGATATCAAAGCAGTACAGTTACCAGTTTAGAAAAGAGCAGGAAATCTGAATATTTATTTTGAGATCATTACCTAAGCTGGCTAAACTAAGCAGCCGGTTTAAGGGATAATCCAACACTGTTAATCCCATAAATCTGTAATTCTCAGTAAAAACTTGAAGATTTATTTTCTACTGCTTCACTGTAGAATTTCAGAGAATAACACCGGAAAGTGATGTTAAGGTCCGCCACTAGAATTTGAGTTCTCACTATTTTGCATGCTTGGCTGTTTGTTGGTTGTGCAGAACAAACACTGCTCCTTATGTAGCTTCATCCTAGGGAGACGTTGCAGGCGATATCACTGAGCCGTCCTTCCTTTCCCTGCATTTTCCCTCCTATGACACGACCTTCCTCCAGGCGGAGTCCGTCGTCTTCAGCGTCGTCCAGGCTCCTCGACATGGCACCATCGAGCGCACCATCAACGGCCAACACTACCGACAGACCAGCAGCTTCACCATGGACGACATCTACCAGAACCGCATCAGCTACAACCACGACGGCTCCAACTCGCTCAAAGACCGCTTCACCTTCACCGTGACCGACAGCACCAACCTGCTCTTCATGGTGGAGGACGACGGAAAAGAGGTGTGTGTGTGTGTGAGAGTGTGTGAGTGTGTGTATAACAGGCACCTTCTGGAGTTTTATTACAGTGGGATGATTGAAATGGCAGAGTGAGGGCATGTCTGCGAGAGTGTGCGTGCTCTGACCTTTTGTGAATTTGTGGGTGTATTCATGTGCTTCTGTCTTTGTGAGGACAGAAGCTGGGGGCTTTTGCAAAGGGCGGACACCTCCGGAAACAGAGAGTGAAAATATTTTTGCAAAGGACATGTTTGGAAGGACAGGATATTTCTGTAGCATGGAAGGAGCAGCTTTATGTTTGCAGCTCATTTCATCTGAATAATATTTACAGTCCTGCGGGGCGGAGACATTAAATGTGCGGTATTTAATTATCTGCTGCCCTGAAAACTCACATAGATTCAGTGAAGGGCCACACAATGGACAGTTTACCTAAAACATGAAAAAGTGCTGTGCTGCAACACAGGAAATCTTTGGTCCGTATGGATGTGCCACAATCTGTCACTACCTGTGCCACCCGAATGGATTGCAGGTACAGCGTAATGCTACCAGCAGTGACATTGGCAAAAAGCAGATCTAAAATCCTGTTACTGTCATTTGCATTGAAGCAGGTGAAATAGATAAACAGTTGTTTATGTTTCCTAAATGGAAACAGTAACAATTCTGAAGTAAAACCTCAAATTCAGCCTCTAGTGGACATCAGAGGAACTACATTTCAGTGCTTCTCTATTCTTTAGCTGAGGAGTTGCCACTTGGGCAAACAAAAGTGCAGCACACTCTGTTGTCTCTAGAAATGTATTAACCCGTCGCCACTATCGAGGATTGTAAGATAGTCCATGAGGAGGGGCTTATTCCACGCATGTTTGCCTTGGATGCACTTTGACATCCTTGAGAGTGGTTTGTTTTCACAGCTAGACCAGAAACCATCACACAAAGGTCCCTACAACTACAGAAGGACGAATGTGTGTGCAGCGGTAATGTCAGCTTTATGGTTATGAGCGAGCCTCAGGGTGAATTGACTGTCAGTTTTCCCCCCTCAGCTCCACCACCTGTCATTACTAATAGCCCACATGATTAAACTGAATGACAGCATGTAGGTATTGACATCCCCGATCGCAAACACACACTTCCCAGCCTTGGGTTTATTATCTTTCCATCACTTGGGGACATTTGGCTCGACAGCCACGCGTGCTCTGCGGCTCCGTAGATGCTTCGTGGCATTATCTCTGCTGTCGTTTCGGTTTCATTCCCACTGGAGCTGCTGTGTTATTAAATAATGTATGAGTTGCTATAAACTGTGTGGACAAGCTCAGCCTTCAAATGGCACGTGTCAAAGTTGGCCTTATTAGCCTCTCTTGTGGTGATTAGTTGCTCCCTCATGCACCTCAGACAGCAGGCGGTAACTGTGAATACTGGAGTAACTTATCTGATTCAGCCTGCCATCGCTGTTGGAAGCGGCTGAATCAATAAAGTAAAACCCAGCAGAACCTTTAAATGGTTCCTAAGAACATTTTGAGCTTTCAAAACTTTGGTCAATGAGAATGACTTCAAGTGGAACCTACAGTGAAGTCTGTGCATGTCTGTAGCACAGCTTTTTGCAACCTGATGTAAAGAAGAACAATTTACTCTAAAGTCTGAAGGCGTATTTTAATAGCTGGGTGTCTAAGTTTAGTGTTTTTGTGCTTTCTTTGAGCTTTAAACACTTATTTAATATGTTTAAGTTTGTGTTCCTGAGCTCCGGTTTCTGTTAGCGTCTCCCTGTCTGTGCTTCGTCTCGTTCGTGTGCTTCTGTCTTCTGTGCTTCACTGTCTGCGATCATGCTCGAGCTCTTCTCCAGAGTCAATTATCTTCTGTTTGTTTCCTGCTTCATTTTAAAGGTCAAGGATGCCTTTGAGTAGTCACTTTTTCTTAGAAAGGTTTTTAACTGAGTGAAGCGAAGTCAGTGCGTGGCAGCCATAATAAGAGCTATTGTCTAAATACTGAGAAAAGATGATTCAACTCACCTTCATTATCTCCTTTGGCAGGAGAAGATCCCATAATTGACAGTGATGCACCATTCGACCATCATTTAAAGCAATCAATACTCAAAACTGACAAACTGCGCCGATCATATAATTATGTTAATTATGTGTGTTTTTCCATTTCCATAATCTGTTGATATATTTAGGATTTTCAGCCTGTTAAACTCACAGCTGAACTCTGAACATCACACTGCTGTAATAAACTCTGCTTCATGTCGAGTTGTGTGAAGAATGTAGATTACTGTAAGCGCTCTAATTCCAGATTATGAGGGTATTATGGAAATTAATCAAAGTACATTTGAGGTTTGCTATAGTTCAGTTT